TTAAATTATTAAAATATATTTATATTTATGTATGACAGTAGGTTCCCTGATAGATATCTTGTAAGAAGCAAACAGGAGAGAAACAAAGGAGCAAAGTGAATATTATCAAGGTATTTAGGTGAAAGACATGAGCTTTTTCCTCCTAAATATGAGCTACTGTATTATTTGAAGATAAGGTTTTCATCAACATTCTTGTTCCTGAATTTATAGCTTTATGGGTTCTTTCACTTAAAAATAATCTTAGAATTACAGCACAGGTGAAAACAATTTTTCTAAATGTGAAGGAGAATGCAGAAATAGTTCACCTTCAACCTATCACATTGTGGCAATTCCAACAAAAACACTATTTTATGTGATTGTAGATCCTGCAGGGCTTTTACTCTCTTTTCTCAAAGATGTCCAGAAATATAACCTGTTCTCTTATCCTCGTATCTGAGCAAAAAAGTAATCCCATTTTCTTAAGACATCAATTTTTACCTCCTTTGTGACGATTTATAGGGTTGCAGTTTTCCTATTATTCTGTCAAGACAGACTTCTGTATTCTCAATGCAATGCAGCTGACCTCTGAATGCACCATAGGAAGCAGAAAAGTTTGATACCGTCACTGCAGGGTAACTTCTTGGTAGTGAAACTTATTGTTATTGAAATCTCTTAATTCCAATCATTGAAAATACTTCTTCAAAATGACCCTGGAGTTCCTGATCTGATTATTGTAAAAGTCAATGTTGAAGTAGCTGTATTCAGTCAAGGGAAAATGTTAAGATGAGCAGATGAAATATGCAGGGCCTTACTCTTATAGGATGCCTCTGACAAATGAATCTGAAATTCCTTACAAATTCACTGCACACTCTTTAACTCCAAAATGTTATTTCTAACCTAAACTCTGTCTTTGCTTCCTAGTGCATTCCTACTGGGCATTAAACATCAAGGAATAATCTTGGAGTGCCGTCATTAAAGACGGTGCATCTCACGATATGTTTGGAAGTTAGCTGGTAGGAAGGTACATAACTAGAATGAAAGCAACAGCTGACTTTTGGGGGGACACTCACTCCATTTTTATTCACAGAAAACAGCTTTTTTTCTTTTCTTCTTCTTCTTTTTTTTTTTTTTTTTTTTTTTGACACACACAAAATGCCTTGGCTTCACGTGGACAATTATTATAACTGTATGAGAAAATCAAAAGTTTTTTGTAGATACTTACCTGCAAAATATACTCTGTCCACAACCGACAAGACAAGAAATAAACCACTGAATTTGCAGAAGATGATATAGGCTGATAAAGAGAAAAAATGATGTCTCGGATAGAATACACTGGAATGGTTTGTTACATGAACCTACTGAGCACCACCATTGCTGGACGTTTGGTAAGCTTATGCAGAAACAGTGTAGCTACAGTTGATCCTGCCTTTGGGTCAACAGTTAGATATAGGTAATTATTAAACTAATGAGTGCACGATGGATTTGAAAAAAAAAAAAGCACCATTTTGTATGCAATTTAGCTGGCACATTCAGGAAAAATTATTCAAACTATTTAACTTTTATTTTCATTTATGCCACTCATTTTTAAAATACTAATTACTATTATGTTATGAGCATTATTCTTTCTTTTAATGAAGATACCTGAGTTTGTGTTTCAGTGGTTCATACAGACAAGGTTTTCAGATTTGAAATTCTCTAGATCACCTTAAGAAGCTTTATGAACTGCCACAGATCAGTTGACTGGCAGTTGAATAATACTGCTCCAAAATACCTCCCTAAGGGTTTTCTCTTGGCTTTAAGTAAATATATAAAATAATTCCTTATTATCACTCCTTGTTAAGATTGTGTTACAAACAAGACTGAGAAGTTTGGACCTAGGTACTAGGCACTTTTGAGTGCACGTACATTAGAGACAGAGGAATGTCTATAAAAGTCTCTGTGCTTACACATAAGTAAATGGTGGTCCAAGAACAAGCTCCATCTTTGAGGACAAGTAGTGTTAATTTATCTGGGAGAAAGCTGTTTGGAGTATTACAAACCACAGACAGCAAGAATTTGGTGCTGAGTTGGACTGTCCCTCTTAATTTGACATTGGATCAATACAGGCTCATAGAAAACTAAAGCCAAGCACCCAGGCAGTTGGATGTGATATGATGTTGCTGTTTGACTTCGAGGACAGAGAACAGATCCCCGTCCTCATTTTATTTCGTAGTAGAGAAAATGCAATGATTAAAACAAAATACACCCTACAGGACAGCTGCTTTTCTCAAAGAGATAAAAGACACTAACTGGACAAAAACAGTTTCTCCAAGATCACCATGAGTTAGTGGTAGTAGGTGAGTTAAGCATCTTGCAAACTGAATCTACCTCCTGTCAAAAGTTCCTTGGCTAACTGGCTGAGGTGGAGCTTATTGGCAAAGAGCCTATGCTTTCCCTAATTCCCTGAAAAGAAGACCAGGACGGGGCAGACAAAATAGAGCTCTTTATTCTTAAAGCTCAAGTGTTGAGCTCAATTTCATCATCTTATGTCTATATGAGTAGGGATATGAACAACAGAGCTGCTACAAAGCATTCTATAGCTCTTATAACGTTAACAGTACTCCTGAATTTCACTCATAGCACACCTGACTTGGGTCTGCACTGTTTTTTTTCCAAGCTTTTCTGAATATACAACATCTACTTACTACAATTTGTATGGAATGCTTTGCTAACCGAGTATTTACATGTAAATATATATATATATATATTTTATATAAAGAAATTTCTCTTAGTTATTCTTCCAAATGATTTGTACTCAGCTTTGTAGGGTTTTCTTAGGTTTTTCTCTTTTTTTGGAAGAGGGAGGAAGGGAGAGAATGGAGGAAAGGAATGTTTGCTTTTGTGTTGGTCTTTTTTTTCAGGGGTGTACCATAGAGGAGAATACTCTGAGGTCATTACAAAAAAATGCATCAATGACATCATGGCAAAGCTACACTCTGCAAAGCTGCAGATCAATCACAGAATGGTATAACTCTATCAGACTCCTGGGAAATAAAAATATCAGGTTGACTCATAACCGCAAATGTTAAAGGTTAAGAAGAAGGAAGACTATAGGTTCAGCTCCAAGTATCTGGGCTTGCTGGAGAGAAAAGCAGCACAAAAATACTGCATGTCGAAATAAAAGTTGCTGGTGAACATGAAATACCATTCAGAACACCTGGATTAAGTTGTTCCTTTCCAAAAATAAAAATTAATGGGTAACTGAAATTTCTCTTTCAGTGACAAAAGCCTGTCTTCATGTATGGGATATGACTAGTTACAAGCAAAGAAATAAATATAAATTTAGAAAGATTACTACAACTTCCAAAGGAATAACTAAAACTCTCTTGTTCTGACAGTATCAATGATAACATAGATAGTAAAACAGAGTTAGTTGAAGGCAAACCCCACAGGATGCTATCTTTTTTCTAAAAATTTATTTTTAGAGGAGCCCCAGGCCTTCACAATCCCATGTCACTTATTCCTTGTCTGTATCTGAGGATTTAGGAACCTCTGGTGTCCCTCCTGTTATCTCTACATTCCAATGGATCTACTTTACTTTGCTGTTTCACTTTTAAGTGTTGTGGCACAGTTATCTACAGCTATCAGTCCCCAAGTAATCTTAGAATAAATAACTGTTCAAAACAAGTACCAGGAGGTAAATCCTGTTCTGAGAGTTTGAGGGTTTTTTTTCTCCATCAACAGGTACATGTATCTGTTGAAAGGAAAATATAAGATAAAATGCAGTACTGCAGGAAAACATCACAACTGAGCAGGTTCCACAGCCACCATGGATACAGTGGTGATACAAACCTATTAGTAACAAGACACATAACCAAAAAAAAGACCAGCATGGGAAGAATACATATAAAATATAAATAGAAATATGGCTTATCAAGAGGGAAAAAAAGGCAAAGCAAAGATACTCTGAAGTAAAAATAAAGCTGTGAGAGATTTTAGTAGGAGCTCTGAGTGCCTGCGGTTTCACTTTTCAAAGCAGAACTTCTGAAGCCTTAAGGATGGGTTGCGATCATGAAAATCCTCACTATTCAAAGATGTGTAATTTCCCTTCAAGAGAACAGGCAAGGTTTACATTCATACTATAAGACTACATAGTAGTCATTGCTAAAGAAGCATTATGTTCAAAAAATAAAACACAAGAAGACCTATTTTTGTGGGGTTTTTTGGGAAATAACATTTGTATTCAGAACCTTGCTACACTGGAATTTTCAATACTCAGAGGTGCAAAATAATTTTCTCTCCAGAACCCCAATATTCAGATATAGTATTGCTTGATGATTTTAAGTTAATTACTCTGTTCATCTAAACTCTACAGCAAATGAAACTTTCAAGAAGCAAAAACTTGAGATTTACATATCATTCCACCAGATATTTAAATACACGCTGCTTTCACCATGACATGGATGATTTGGAAGTTAGGACAGAAAATCTTAAGGAAGATAAATCCCCCACCATCTCAGCTAGCTACTTTATACCTGTACACAAGGGACCTACTAAATATTTTGTTATTGGCAGTACAAATTTTTAACTATAATTTGCTTGCTCTTCATAGCCAGGGGCACAAGGATAACATATAATCTAGATAATTTAAATAAAAGGAAACTGCCAGTGCAACTCTTTTTGGTCAATAGACTGCCTTCAGTAACCATTCTAACAGCTATTGCAGAATCTGCCCTACTGCACAAAGTGAAACATTTTATTTCCTTTTAGGATCAATCCTCTAGAAATCAAGATGTCTCTATGAAATCATAGTAAACACAAACTCATTCTGAATCAATTTACATCATTTGCTGAATTTTTCCTCCAGGTCAACACCGTTCAAAGATATCATTGCTCTGATGGGTATGCTCAAGTACAAAATTGAGTAAAACCTATAAATTTCTTCTGCAAGTTTATTTTTCTCCAACACTTATAGCAAAAAAACCCTTTTATTTTATTGAACGGTAACTTCTATCAAAAGCTTAAGAAATCAGAAAGGTTACCTCTTTTGAGTTCATTTCTGTGAAAGTGAAGCACTGGAGCAGCACAAAAACCCCTGTATAGTTCTGGAAGGGATTCAGAAAGGATTAAAAATATTTCTTTCCTTCCTTTCCCCCCTCCCTCCACCTCCTGCAGTTTTAATCATTGCAAATTTTTCATTTAGAATTATTCCAAATCAATTTCACTTAACATCTTTTCTCTCAACTTCTCAAACCAAACAAGATTAAAATTTGAAAAACTAAAAACTAGTAAAAATATCTCAAAGATTTGTTTCCTTTAAAGAATCTATACTACACCTAAGGGCTGAAGCCATTGGCCAAATGACTTTCACCACTGGAATTTTGTCCTTGATCTGGATCATCACTGAAGTACTAATTTGGCAGCAAAAACTTCAGAAAGCACAATAGATAACGTGTATTAGTCGAACTCATTGATGTTTCATAAAGCCTTATAAAACAATAACATGACCTTATACAGCAAAATGGAACTTCTTTAGCACTGGTATTTTATATACAAAAATTATACATCTACAAGATAGCAGAAGAGTTTTTAGTCTGAGATCTCAGTAAAATAAAATAATAATAAAAAAAAACCCAATAATAATAATAAAGAGATACCTTTAAATTAATACTTAAATTACCCGTCTTTTTAAGTTTTCTCTCTACATCTCACTCACTATGCCACTTATTGGGTTGTTATTCAGAGAGCATGTGTAAGAAGAGAGTAAACAGTTTGTCAAAATTTTCACCAAATAAAAAATGCACAAGAAAGATCAAAGTAATTAGAACATCCAACATCAATAAATGTACAACTTCTGCCTCCTGAAAGGCTGTGTACCTCCAGAGTGGAACATCGTCAAACAGAGATGAACCTGCAAAGGGGCAGAATGCAGGTCCAAGGCAGTGCAGGATTTGGGATACAGAAAGTATGGGCTTGATCTGTTTCAAATATCCTTGCATGGTTTTGGCTAACATCTATAAAGCATCAGCTTCCTGTTAGTTTTTAATCCCATACCCACCATTATTCTGCACAATGCAAAGAAATATTTAATTTACTTACTGCATAAGAACTGAGTAAATGGTTATATATTGTGCATGCATATAGACATAAATAGCTGGATTTAGTGTGATAATCTACTAGCGAGTTTGGTTTTTTTCAGTATATTAAAAGTTTAATGAATAAAATCCTAGAGAGACTTGCATGACCTCACTTCAGCAGATATATTAACTGAATCACTGGAGTGAAGATAAGAATTGTCAGATGCAACTGAACATTTATGGAGTGAGTAAGCTAGCATTTGTAGCTGCAAGTTGAAGCAATCATCAGTTGCATATAATGAGTATTTTAAATGCCCTGTATAGTACACTGTAGTATACTGCAGCCTGATAGCTTACCAATACATTAATAAGGAAAGAAAAATCAAAACCATGGATTTGAAATCTGAAAGATCAGGGAGAAAATTTAAATGCAAGGACATCTTCAGTATTTAGATGTTGCAGTGTCATGCCAAAATTCAGACCTCTTTGAAGGGGGTGTCCTTTTTACCTTCTTCTTGCCAGCAGCAGGAAACATTGCAAACTTTTTACATAAGTTTATATAAACTTTTACGTAAACTTAAGTAAAAAGTTTGCAATATTTCCAAATATTTGCAAAAAAATGTAAAAAGGGGACAATGACTTAGCATCCATAAGAGTCAGCAACGGAACCTTGGCATGCAGAGCAGCCTAAGATCTGGCTTCCAAGGTAGCTTTTATGATGTCATGGGGGACTGCACTGTATCTTTAAAGTACTGTACTACATTCCTAAAATAAAGGGCTACCTAAAACTTCTGCTTTTACATAAGCAGTTGGCAAGACAGAACAAAAAGAGAACATTTAAAAAATATGAACTTTCCTATAGAAATGTATACTGAAATACACTAATACATTATGCTAACCTGTTACTCCATCTTGGCCATGTGTATTGAGCAAGGTATGGCAGTAGTTGCTTATGATATCAAACACGTCGCTGAAATCAGAACCTCCTGGAGTAGGTCCTGGAAGATTTAAGTTAGAAGTCATCAAGAAGTAACAGCTTCCTAATCAGCGGTTTTCTTCTAACAAGATACTTAGATGAATAAAAGAACAATTACTTTCACTCTCCATCTCCTACTAGATTGTTGTAATGTTGGATAAATAGAATTTAATGAGATCACCTTATGCTAAATTGATTTTTCTATTCTACAGAGCAAAGTGCTTTTCAGTTCAGAATTCAGCGGTACACCAGTGAAGTTATCATGGTCAAAATAATACATTCAGTATATGGAATGTGAAGACATGCACAATATATTGATTTGCTGTGAAATTCTTATATAAATGCAGGTAATTTCTATATTCAGGTTCCTGAAATGAATGTTTCATACCTGCAATAAATTATTTTTTTTTTCCCTTTTCAGTGGAGTATTTTTCAGCAACAGACACGTTCCTTTTAGAAATCACATATATCCTCATAAGACAGATAAAGTCATTCTATGCTGAGCTGAAGTCAGGACCTACCAAATCTAATGCATCCTTTGAATCAAATTTATGATCTACTAAATCATATCAGTATTATGTATATTGAAAGCTAAACTGATGAATCACCAGCTAAATCAGATTGCAAATACATGACAATATAGTATTTATTAAAATGGCTCAGTGATTTGTTTTAGTTGTCAGAACTTAATACGTCAACTTCTGAAAAACTCTTAAAAAAAAAAACTGCAGGGATTTTTCAGAAAGTAAAAAGACACCACGTAAAAATGAGCTAGGAAAAGTCAATCTCTGCGTGCTTTTGCAGAACGAGGTGTCATGTGCTGTTTTGTGGAAGTGCTCAAGCAGGGCTTTCAAAGGAGTGCAAACACTCTGCTGACTTTCACCTCTAGGCAGTTGTCTGGGATTTTACATTTAAAGGCGATGTGGTTTAACCCAGCAGCAGCTCAGCACCACACAACCGTTCGCTCACTCCCCCTTGTATATCCACACACACGTGCATATCTCCTCAATGCAGTTACTCACCTCACACCAACCGACACCCTGCAACCAACCGTCCCACCACCTGCCACCAGAGGCCCAGCCAATCCCAGCACAGCTGCCAGCTCCTTTCTTCTTCTTCTACAATTTGCTGATATCCACCATTTTGGATGTTCCGTTGATTTTGTTGGGGGGGGTTTGTTTTGCTTTTCAATTTTTGTTTTGTTAATCTGAGATGTATTTTCTTTTTTTTTCTGGTAGTTGAGGGAAAATTCATATTTACATTGCAAAGAAACTGAGTCCCTCTGTCAAAAATCTAGCATGGAACATATTTCATCAAACTACTCAATCATGGGGTGGATCAAACTATTATTCTGAAGACCTTGTATTTTTCAGTTTTATCTGTGCTTTAAAAATTTTAACACACCATAGGAGTCTGTGTCACATTTTCAGAAGTCATTTAGGTGTTCCATCAGCTGTCAATAGCATTTGGTTATGTTCATCACATTTAGAATTACAGCATACCTCACATATGGGGTAAAATTTTCTTAATTATCCATTCTTATTATATTTACTGACTAACACTTAAGTGAATTGGAACATCTTCTACAATAGCACTATTCATGTGATATACTTCACTATTTTTTAATGCTAGACTATTATACATTCCTGAATTAACATCCACATCCTCAAAAGTAGCATATGCTTGATAAAAACAAACAGGATGCTTTGAGATACAGCAAAATGATAAGACAGTTGCTGTTATTGCACGGTATGATACATAGTATTCAGTGAACAACATAGTGATGAATTCTCAAGAGTGACAAAAAGACAGTTGTTAGTGTATTTTTCATTGTTCATTTTTCATTTGCTTGTTTTGTTTTTCTGTTACTTTCTTTTACATCAGATTAGAGCTTAAAAAAGGTGAAATTATAAAAAAAAAGCACAGGAAATAGCAACCCTGGCTCAAAAGAAATCTAACGTAAATCATAATTTGTTATTAGATTACCTTCAGCATAACTCATCAGAGCACCTTTATATGGTGCTGTTTAAGAATTCTATAACATAGATAAATTAAAACACATTGCTGAGATGCAAGTCTGTGTTTGCAAAGGAGTCCTTCTGCGACCTTGCCAAGTTTACAGAGTGTGCCAATAACAGCTCGGATTAGAAAACTGACTGATTAAAATTTTGCTCACTAGGATAAAACACTTGAAATGAATCATCTCATTTTCCAGCATGTCCTCGGGTTGCTGCAGGCACAATAAATTACAGTCATATAATAGCAAACAACTGTAAAAAATTAGAGTTAATACATTTCACATATACTGTAGCACCTGTTTTTGAAACTCTGAATTGTCTTAATTTTTTTATGTTCATAGATAATGAAATATGATCAGTACTTTTCAGAGTGGAATTGCAGAACCATCAGTTTGTTTGTTGTCCAAAATACACAGAATGTCATTTTTGTTGTCCAAAATACATAGAACTGAAACCTTTCTACTGACTTAGTCGGTAGACTAACACTATCTGCACATTACTAATTAACATCAAATGCTATCGCTAATATCTCCACAAATAATGCTCTTGCAGAAGGCAGAACGTGCTGGGTATAACCTTGTGCTCCAGTGAAATGATCAGAATATAAATAGAAAACAGCAACACGCCATTGCAGTGGAAAATAATCAGCAAAAGTAGTAATGGAACTAATGCCTGCCAAAGCCTTGCACATGGTGGCAAGAATGCAATCCATCATGCAGCTGTTTGTCATTTTTGCAAGGGGTTCCAAACAACAAAGGTTCACCTGAGGCAAATCTCCTAGGTGACCCCTCTAGTAAATGCAGAGATGTAGGCTCCTCCACAGGAAGACTGAGCTAGCTGATCCAGTTGCCTTCAGAGAAGCCCATTTACTCCACCTACTGTAAAGACAGCCTGAGCAGACTCACTCAGCCCTGGGGTAAAAGCCTATTATTTGCACAGGTGTCACACAGAAATCTACTTTTCTATCTGAGCAAATAGATAACATCTATGTTTTTTTATGAAACAGCCCTAAACTTTTATCAAGGTACTGAAGGAAATAATCCAGCAAGTTTGGTGGTTCACTGTGACCAACAGAATGCTCTATTTTAATGTCCTTTTATTTTAAAGGAAATACTTTCACCTTGGCAGAAATACCAAAAGTACTGTGTTTCATTGTATCTGCTTTCATTACATGCTGCAGTACTTTCAAAAAGTTTCAGAGAGAATCATTACAGATGGTCTTAGAAAGACATCAAAAACTCCATGGTATCTCCTTAAATAAGTTGTCTTTTTGTCTTTTCTCTATTCATCTCATGCCAGAAGTAACTGTCCTGCAATTGCTGAAAGGTACAGGAGCTACATTTTGCACTCTGTGCGTTAATCAGATTTGAAAACACTTGAGTACACATACACGTCAAAATGCCAGCTATCAGGCAAATTGGGTAAATGCCAAACTTAAAGAGAAAATGTAAAAATGAAAGCACTGCTGCAGTTCTAATTGCTCTCAAAATTTATGTCAGGCTTTTGAACTGGTTTTCAAAGCAAATGGGCACTCTTAAAATGAGTATCATCTTTCATCATTGTTTCAAATCCTAAAAGGCAGCTTGCGTTCTTCAGGATATCCTACCTTTCCCCTACTCTGAGATCCGGGTACTGTTACATGACTGAGGCAGCTGTGTATCATGAAGTACTCCATCACCATTCCCAGAAATGACTGTGAAGGAGAAAATTAGATTACACAAGTGATCATGCTGAAAACTAACAAGATACATTCTGAAATAAAAATATGACAAATTCGAGACAACTTGAAATTCCAAACCTCCATTTAATGTGTAGATCTAAATCACAGTCACTTCTCAATTGTTCTGTTCGTTTTCTAAATGAGGTGCAAACTAGAATTCTTAAACACAGACTGAGATTCACTGCAGTCAGGTTCCAATCTTTGCGTTTGTTTTCAAGACTACAACATTATTATTTCATTGTACGTTTTAATATGTCTGAATTTCTTAAAAGGCGCACTAGGATTTTTTAGAAGAAAACAGACTTTTTTTTAGAAGACTTTTTTTTTTCCTTTTTCTCTCTTTTTTTTTTTTTTTGAAAGAAACTATTTTACTGGTCCAAGCAATTTACAAATCTCAAGCGCATTTTCTGTAAAATAAATGTTAAAAAAAATTACACAATTTTAACAATGATTTTACAGAGAGACTCTTAGAACACAACTCAGTTTTCCTAAACATTTTCTGAATCCTAGTCAGTTATCAGATTTTTCTTATCTTAACATTACAATGTTAATAAAATGTCAGTGCATGGCCAATTGCTTTAGGATCACAACCACACAAACATTAGAAGGTTAAAACTGGCTATTGAAAACATCTCATTTTTCACACTACAAGTATCATCCTTCATTTTTAAAACCGTCTGCCACCGCTAACTGCAGACAAATATGAAATTAATCCTTAACAACCTTTTATGCAACTACTAATAAAGTAAAATGATACATCAAAGAAAAAAAGCTCTTTTTCTGAGTTTGCTCTACATTAGCTTTAACATTTTGTGTATGACTGTACAGGTGACAGACAAAAGATTTCCTCAGAAAACAACAAAAGGCAGACAATAATGTTTCTGAAACAGATTTCTTATATTCATGGAAATTAATGAATTTATAGATCAGTGATGAGATGACAGATTATTTTAAAGAATATTTCTCTATTCCTTTGATATTACTGCCACCCCAAAGTAGAGGTTTGCTCTAAGAATATTATGATATGCTTTAACTATAGAAAAACTACGCAGTTAAAATATCAGCTCAGTCCCTGTGAACCAGTACTGCTTTCTACATCCACTAAGAAGATAAATATATTAACAAAAGCTCAGACTTTGGAAAGGATCTGAAGAATAATATGGAAAAAATGTTTGCTGTGCACATGGGGTGCATTCACTTTAACTTCTCATTCAGGAAAGCGCCCTTATTCAGGAAAATATTTAAGCACTTGCTTGACTTTAAACACATGTTTTGGGCCCGGTGAAGCAAATGAGATTTAATCACATTCCAAATAATGATGGATATAAAGCCAAAAGATATTAACATGAATGGTTTTTGGATCCAGGCTTTACATTTTTCAAGTCTTAAATATACACATACAGACATGTACATACACATATACATACACCCCCGCACAGACACATGCACAGAAAGATCTGTCTCTAAACTAAGCCAAAATATGAGAAACTAGAATTGAAAAGATTATGTGTTAGGAAACCAAAATTAAATTGAAAATGCAGATTTGAAATACAGCGGCCGCTTCATCTTGCTGGATCCTGAAAACTCAAGTTTATTTCCTCTAAAGTAAACAATTACAGAAGCCTAAGCATTTTCTGTCTAGAATCTTCCTTTCCATGCTCCTACCTCAAGTTTTGATCTCACAGAAATGTTTTGGTTCTAACAAAAATTAGGTTTACAGAGCTTTTTTCTCATGTTCTGATGCCAGGAACAAGAATCTACTCCTCTTCTGATGAGATTAGTCTCCTGATAAGAAGTTGATGTTGGCACAAGCATGGATTTTGCATCACAGCTTGCTTTATGGGTATTTTTTACATGAGATACCAAAATACAAATTTATGGTTTAAAACAGTATGATAATAAAGTATTACAACTAGCTTAATCATTAATTACTCAATCATTTATTAGGATAAACATTAATCACAGTTTTTCTGATAAGGATAAATGGGGATTCCTCCTCGTTTTATACCTCAAATAAGGATGATTTTCAGAATCAATTGCTCAAAAGAATGAACCTACATTGAAAACGTGTAGCACAATAACATCCTTCTTTAGGAGTTCACTTAAATTGCATTTAATCTCTTTCTAAAGCTTAATAATAACTGAAGCTGTAAGACTTTCCTCCTAAAACACAGTACTCTGGGATAACAGGCTGGGCCTGACTAAGCATTAAGATGGACTGCAACTATGCCAGTAGTACAAGCATGAGATTTTTATTCTTATATGTGGCAGAAGATCCCATGTTGAATAAGTAGGAAGTTCAGGATTCTTCTTTAAAAGCCTTTTTGTATTTTGTTTATGGTTGCTTTTGAGCTAGAATACCATATCAGTCATGTTTTAAGAACAGCATGAGAATGAAATAGTTGAAAGTCATGAGGTCAAGTCTGATATCCTTTCCGTGCTTCCATCAGACAGAAGATGATCTTATGTTGCTAATCAGCCTCTAAATGGAGCACAGATGAAAAGCTGATCCTGCAATCTATTCTAATTTCAGTAAGCTCTACAACCCACAAAATCTACCTCATTTTTTTCAACTCTCTCCCCCGTCCCACTGGGAAGGCAGGGAGCGAGCAAAGAAATGCGTTGTACTTAGCCACCTACTGGGTTAAACCACAACATTTATATTTTCATCATCATACAAACCCAAGTAAATCATCACTGTCTTATTTGCAAAGCTTCTGAGAACAGTACAGCCTTTCAAGTTAGGCACTGAGTATACAGCAAAAACATAGCTGAAAGCTATCTAAAGGGCATCCTATACAAAACACGGAGAAGATGCAAAGATATCTACACTACTAAATTCATATATTACATGCAATACTATATATATATATATTTTTTTTATCTTGGATTCAAAAGCTATGCAATTCTCAGTGCTTGAAAATAGCAATGCTACTCTATGGACTGAGATGACTTCTGGAGATATAAAAGACTTTCTTGTTTTGACTAGCTATGATAACTCCTAATAAGTGAGATGTATCAAACTTTCACCTGTCAAGGATATTCTGTTAAGATCAATGTTACAAAACTCTTTTGGAAAGAAAAAAGGATTGTACATGAGACAAGAACAGAAAGTAAGAGGAAAGTCAGCACTTCAGATAGAAATTAAAAATATGGTTTCTGACTGCACAGTTATTTGAACATTCATATCAGTGACTGATACATTTTGCAATCTAAAACCAAATACTGTTGGAATTTTCGGAATTATTTTTATGACTGATGACTCCATTTCTATTCGATAATGAATTTGATATGTTCTATTTGAAAGTTGCTTTTCTGCGTTCCTTATGGAAGCATGATTACACTAGTGCTTGAACTACATTTTGTTATTATTGAATAAAACTAGTTACTACTCCAACATTTTATTAGATTGGTATGACTTCAATGAACTTAAGCACAAGGAGTCCAGGTTTCTCTTTTTTTTTTTTTTTTTTGCCTCCATAAAAAATGCGTTTCTCTATTAGGGAACATAGAACGCTTACCTAAATCTTTCATTTCTAATTCCTATCACATGTATTACTCAAATGGGGCAGCAGAAAAACTGTACAACATACAGCCCATAGCCAGCTGAGATGCTTAAACTGACAAGCACAAAGACTCCAAGAACGTAAAGGAGGATTTCCACTTGGGGGATCAGTTATCATTCATCTCTTTCCCAGAAATATAACTTTATACTCTTTTTAAGTAAAGGATTTTACAGCCTCCCCAATTAAAAATCTACTTTTCCACTATTCTACTATATCAGATTGCTTTGATTTATTTTTTTATTTTTTTATTTTTTTATTTTTTGAGGAGGAAGGGGTGTGGTGTTAGGAGCGTTCAGATTACTCTACAGAACATAATTACTAAATGAATTCAAAATATTTTAGGAAACGTATCTGTATCATAAATATTCCTTTAAGAGCTGCAGTCTTACTAAAAGTTTTTCAGAAAATATTTTCAGTATTCCCTAAATTAAAGTTTCAGGAACCTTTTTATTATACCCTTCTGTTTTTTATTGTAATACAGGGTAAAGGACAGGCCAGTTTTGATCAGCTTAAAGATAGCTAAATGTTGTTTTCTATAACTAAATCTTGCTATCACGACCATATATGTTTAGACCCTAAAAAAAAAAAAAAAGTGCTAGGAACTGAATAAATACTATTCTACCTCTCATCATCTCAGCTTGCACACCTCCTAACAAAAATCTCAGTTTACCAAGATGAGATTTTTTTCTACTGTTCTGCATTTCAAACTGGAATTTAACTTAAAAACAGTAAGGTCCAAGCAAAATATCTATAATGGTATATAAGCTATCCCTTACCCACACTAATAATGTTCTGCAGTGGTTTATGACATTTTATTTACACTATTTTCATTTCAGCTCCACTACTCTCAGTGCATACTTCAGATTTGAAGAGCCAATAATTTTCCAAGTACAGGACATATTTAAAAACATAAAATAGAAAAAAGAATAAAGAAAAGTGCAGCATCACAATCTTTTATACGTGATGACACTTGGATAAAAGAGGATTCTCTGTGCTTTGAATGCGGATCTATTCAGACCTGATGCTAATTATCCATGACTGGTGACCTTGACAAAAATATTATTAGTATTTCCTGCCCTCTCTCTCCAGTTTGGAAGCAGCTGATAGTAAAATACATTTCAACTCTTTCTGTTGTTGTTACGTATGGCAAAGAACATGGAATATTTGAGCTCAGTGAGGGCAAGAACTTGAACATATTGTGAATGCTTTGAAAATTGGGCACCCTGAGCCTACCAGTTGAACAGTTGTAAGGATTATTAAAAACCTGAACTCACAATCTCTTAATTACTTGGCTCATTCCACTGTTTGGTGGGAGCCATAGATTCCTGAGAGAGAAGGAAATAGAAAGTACTCAGACTTATAGGAAAGAAAATAATTCAACAACAGCATTTTACTTAAGTCAATGTC